AGGCTGACCCATTTAACGCGCCAGATGCTGCCGCAGTAATAAGACAGCTTGGACATGCGAAGATCTTTATAGTTATGGACCTCAAGAATTCGTTCAACCAAATGCGAATACATCCTGATGACAGATGCAAAACAGCATTTTGGACGCCACTTGGTCAAATGGAATGGCTTGGAGTACCATTTGGTTTACTGAATGGTACTTCAGCTTTGGCCAGATGGTTATACTTAAACGTTATTGATTTAGAAGGTGTCGCCGTTTATGTTGACGATATTGTAATTCACGCAGATGACGAAACCACCTTACTGAAATACTTTGAGGCTATGATGAAGCGTTTAGCTGAGATAGGAGCATACATCAACGTAACAAAGTGCAAGTTTGGTGTAGAGGAAATAGAGTTCCTCGGATTTAACATCAAAGGTGGACGACTCACTCCTCCCACAGAGTCGGTAAAGGCAATAAATGCCATTAAACTACCATATGATACAACTACCGTGCGACGATTCCTAGGTATGGTTGGCTACTTTCGCAATTTTATCAAGGACTTTGCCAAGATAGCTGGACCTTTATACGAACTGTTACAGAAGGATGTTACATTCAAGATGACCGATGAAAGAATAGCATCATTTCAAGAATTACAGAAGGCGTTAACTGAATGTCCTGGCCTGGCGAATCCTCACCATTCGTGGCCATATGTCCTGGACACTGATGCCTCTACTACTGCAATTGGTGCCTGTCTAATGCAACTCGATGAACAAAGTACTTTACATCTCGTTTTGGATCCCGCCGATTAACTCCTGCCGAAAGAAATTGGCCAATCTACGAACTTGAAGGTTTCGCGGTAGTGCACTTTATACTTGCCTTCAGACCTTACTTAATTGGAAGAACTTTTACCGTGAGATCAGACCATAAGCCACTTCAATGGTTATGGAAGATCGATAAACCACGCCTGGCTAGATGGTCAATGGCCCTGCAACAATTCGACTTCAAGATCGTGTACAATCCTGGTACAGCTGAAGAACAAGTTGATATATTTACCAGAGATGTTGACTTCACCGCTGCTGATGAATTCGTCGACAAACACCTTGGTATGGTAAATACTCTGAGTCACATCAAACCAATTGAAGATAGAGCTGCGAGACAACAAGAACGACTAATTGGTGAAGAAGTTGCATCCATTCCAATCAAGACGAAGTCAAAGGTCGATACGGGTGTAATACCAAATCTGAAGGCAGACAGCAATTTCCCATCAATTGAAGAATTTGTTCATGCTGCTAAGGAAATTGCGTCAGTACCAGACAGGTGCATAATACAGGAAGATCTGCTCGTTCATGCGAAGAGTGGACTCATGTTTGTCCCTGAAAATTTGAGAGCCCGAATACTATACTACTATCATTACAGTAGAATCGGTGCACATCAAGGAGCACAGAAAATGATTGTCAGGATAAAGAAGCACTTCTACTGGCCCTTGTTGGCGAAAGATTGTGTCGATTTCACTGCTGGTTGCCTTACGTGTCAAAGAAGAATGAATGTCGTCAATTTGGTTGGAAAAGGTGTCTTGTTATCCACTGATTTCAACCCATTAGTTTCGGTCGATGCAATAGGACCTTTCATGTACAAGAAGAAAACTTACAACCTAATCACCATGATTGATAACTTAACGAAGTGGGTAGAAGTTGGAGTTCTCGAAGATGGCACTGCATTAACTGCATGGAACTTGGTATATTCCATGTGGATCTGTAGATTAGGAGTGCCAATGAAAATGCT